AGACGCAACAACAGACTCAAAGGAAGGGTCAGTGACAACAGTAGCCAGGAGACGCGTGTCAGTAGGACTGGTAGCACGAAGAGAGTCTGACCCAGGGTCAGTAAGAGCAGGAAGAGGGGAAGCAGGAGGAGATGGCTGTGGGACACGCTGTGGAGCAGTGGACGGACGAAGCGCCATCCGGTGAGTGCCTGGGACAGCAGGAAGAAGCTGACGCTGGACACGACTACTAGAGAGAGCAGTGCGGACAGGCGACTCACGACGAGACTCAGGTGACGTAGGACGAGACTCAGGCTCACAACGCTCAGTAAGACCTCCAGTCGGACCAGTGTAAGGAGCAGGACCAGGGAGAGAGGAGGTAGACTGTAACGGCGACTGCAGCTGGAGAGACGGAGGACACGCTAAGGAGGGAGGAGGACAAGAAGGAGGGAGCTGACCAAGAATCTGCTGAAGGAGCGGAACAAAGTACGGCTGGGACCGTGCAGCGACACCAGAGCCAGCAGGGACACCCGCACCAGGGTCCGCAGTACCAGCAGCAGCCCCAACACCTGGGTCCGCAGCACCAGAAGCAGCTCCAACGCCCGGGTCCGCAGCACCAGCGGCAGCTCCAACGCCCGGGTCCGCAGCACCAACAGCAGCTCCAACGCCCGGGTCCTCAACAACAGCAGCAGCTCCAACGCCCGGGTCCGCAGCACCAGCGGCAGCTCCAACGCCCGGATCCTCAGCACCAGCAGCAGCTCCAACGCCCGGGTCCGCAGGACCAGCGGCAGCTCCAACGCCCGGGTCCTCAGCACCAGCAGCAGCTCCAACGCCCGGGTCCTCAGCACCAGCAGCAGCTCCAACCCTCGGGTCCTCAGCACCTGCAGCTGCTCCAACCCCCGGACCTCAGCACCAGCAGCAGCGTCAACAGCAGCGGGGTCTGTAACACAAGGCACGCCACTCCGAAGAGTGCAGCGCCGCTCGTACCACTCACGGATCCGCTCGCGGGAGGGGAGCTCCCTAACGGGAGAAGAAGCACTAGCACCAGTCCCAGCAGTACGTCCGGCTCGAAGTACCACGCACGCAGCTGCTCCAAGGAGAGGGCTCCTCCAGGTGCAGGTCTCCCAGGCCCAGAACCTCCAGACCCAGAACCCCCAGACTCCGGACTCTGCAGCTCAGCACCACGAGGCTCCACACCCCCCAGCTCAGCACCCCCAAGCTCAGCACCCCCAAGCTCCACACCCCTAGGCTCCACACCCCCAGGCTCCACACCGCCAGGCTCAGTACCCCCAGGCTCAGCAGCCCCAGCCTCAGCACCCCCAGTAGGACGAGAGTCGACAGCTACCTCAACAGGCTCAACCGGGTCTACCTGAGACACAACTGAGGGAGCGGCACCCTAAGGGGGGAGGGGGTCTGCAACAGCAGCACCTGGCACGAGGAAGAGAGGCGGGGGGGGGGAGCGGGGCAGTGCGGTAGGGGAAGAGGCGGTAGTAGGGGACGAACTCGTCAAAAGTGACGTCCTGGGAGGGCAAGACTCGTCGCGAGGTGGCGTGGTAAAACTGCCAACCAGACGCGTCCGGGACAAAGCCGAGGAAGACGCAGGGAACAACACGGGAGGAGAGCTTGTCCGCAGACGTATCGCGGACAAAAGCTCGAGACCCCTAGACCTGGAAACGCGACGCATCGCCAACCTCCCCCGTCCACAGCAGCGTGGGCGAGGTCTCTAGCAAGGAGACACGGGGCCAGAGGTTGAGCTGATGCGCAGCGTACCGGACTGCAAACGGCCACAGAAAGTGGGGGGCAGCCGCATGGATCAAGGAGGTACGGGCGACCTCCATGACCAGGCCAATGCGGCGCTCCGCAACCCCATTCTGCTGTGGAGAGGCCGGAAGCGTGAAAAACTGCTCAATGCCGTGCTCAGCACAGTAGGCTGCCAAGAGGTCGGAGGAGAACTCACCACCTCTGTCAGAGTGCAAGCGTAGGACAGGAAAGTCCATGTGAAAACGGCTCGCTGAGCTGGAGACGGGCTCTGCGGATCCAAGGGATCAAGACATCAGGGACCTCACCCTTGGTGCGCAAGGGGAAGACCGAGGTGTAGCGCGAGTAGTCGTCAACAACTATCAGGAAGTACCTCTCCTGACCCTGACCATGGACGCGGTCTGGGTCCCACACGTCCATGTGAAGCGTCTGCAAGGGAGCAGTCGTCGGGGGGAACGAGGAGGAGTGAGGAGCGGCGCGCTGCCGTCCCTCGACACAGGGGAGACAGGTAGGAGCAGGCGAGGGTGGGAAGGCAGGAAGGACCCTGAGCAGGCCAGAGACAAGGTACCGAGAGTGCATGGCACGAAGCCGCTGCACAGACGGGTGGCCAAGGCGGTGGTGCCAGAGGACAGTCTCGTGTGCCAAAGAGCGACACGAGCAGGGGGCGGACAGCTGACCTGACGCGGACGCGCACGCAGTCGCAGCAACCTGAGGGGACTCAGTAGTCAGTGTGTACAGGTCCGACCCCGGCTGCCGAGTGAAGGTAGCCAAGTGACGGCCCGTACGAGCACACGTACAGTGTGTCACGCGCTCGTAGGCAGAGGTGAACTGGTGAACACCCCCGTCCTGGAGCGCACATCCTGCCACCAAGTTCGTAGAGAACGAGGGGAGGTGGAGACCTGACAGTGTGCCCGACGGGACCGTAGGGCAGGGAAGGACAGTGGAAGAGGTCGCAATGACCAGACCCCCAGAGGGGTCAGCAAGGGAGACAGCAACTGGCCGAGCAAGCGGCTCAAGGGCAGTGCGGTCACGAAAGAAGCAGTGAGAAGCACCTGAGTCCAGTGTGAAGGTGTGCAGTGCGGTAGTCGACGCAGTACCATGGGGGGGAGACACACGAGCACCTAAAGCAGCAGCCTCACCAGCACCTGGGGTAGCCGACACGCGAGTACCTGAAGCGGCAGACGCACTGGCCCTAATGCTCGGGTCGGGCGGCACACACAAGTACTCAGCACCCTCTCCACTAGTAGACATCACATACATGGCAGATAGAACAGCATCAAAGTCTAGAGCATAGATATCAATCCCCTTCTTCAAGAGATCAAGCCAGGGGGGCAGCTCAGTGGCCTGAGGGAACTGAACACGCCAAGCGTCGTCGAGACGAGAGAAGCAGCGTTGTGTGGCATGCTGTCATCCACACTGCTGACCAGTGCGGTCACCAGTGCGAATGACGTACGTGCAGCCAAGACCACCCCCACCCCCGTGCTGAGAGTACCACTCACAGACCTCCTGGGGCGAAGGAGTGTGCTGCTGGCCCTGGCCACCGCCAGCGCCTCCACGGCCGCCACCACCGCTGCCACCTCCTCGACCACCCCAACCCCTGCCGCCGCCTCGTCGACCGCCACCCGAACCGCCGCCTCCACTCCTGCCACCGCCCCCGCCGTTGCCGCCACCACCCCCACCGCTACCACTCGCCCCTCCAGCCGAGCCACCACCCCCACTGCCTCCACCGCCCCCACCGCCGCCTCCCTCGCCGTCACCGCCACCACCCTTGCCCCCTTTGCCCTTGCCGCTGCGGCGCCCGCTCGAGGCAGACGCAGCGCCGACCTTCTCAGCACCGAGAAGGTTGACAGCAGCAGCAGAGGCGACAGAGGGAAGAAGGGGGGAAGGAGAACACCCCTCAAAGAACGGGGTACGGGGGTCGCCACGAGAGGCACCTACAGCGACTATGCTAGTCTCAGCTGCAAGTAGCTCCTTTCTCGAGCAGGGCAATGGTGAGCTCAGTGGGGCAACGAGCTAGGAAGTGGTCCCTGACAGCACACAGTGTGTCAAGGAGGCGGGTGACTAGGTGGTAGAGAATGAGCCAGAGTGGAGGGGGGTGCGTGGCAAGGAACTCAGCTGGCATGGCGGCACGGAAGCGGGCCTCACTAGTACGGAGGTGCGTGATGAGGTCAGCGACTGTGTGAAAGGAGGACAGGTCGGGAAACAGGTAGGGGAGGGAGAGACGGCCTAGCGCGGCAGAGGTAGGTGAGGAGTAGCGAGCAACTACGGCTGTGTACAGTGCCTGTGCAGTCTTGTGCTGCCCAAAGTGCTCGCGCTCGTCTATCGGCAGGAAGTTGCGAATAGCGAAGCGAGCGTGGGCATCACGAGTCTGCCACTGTGAGCGAGCAGTGCTGTCAGCAGTAGCAGCAGGGGCAGTGACATGGCCTAGGGCGTGATCGTACAGTGAGATGTTATCCTTGGCTGTAAGCTGTAGGTAGAGGTGCAGGTCATCGAGCCAGGTGTCAAACTTTACAGGGCGGCCCTCAGCATCGAACACGAGAACCTGTGGGCTAGCCATAGGAACAGTAGAAATAGCAGCAGTAGCAGTAGGAGAAGCAAGTAGGACGAACCAGGTAGGGCAGGGCGGCGCGGCTCGGTTCAGGTCGGGGCGCGGCTCGGCTGGGTGGCGCGGCTCGGCTGGGTTCGCGCGGCTCGGCTCGGGGCGCGCGCCTCGGCTCGGGGCGCGCGCCTCGGCTCGGGGCGCGCGGCTCGGGTCGCGCAGCTCGGGTCACGGCGGGAACGGGCCGCCCAAGGCCTTCAGGTGGTGGGCACGGGTCGGCGAGGTCGGCGTGGGGCCGGTTGGGGCCCTAGAGGGGCGAGCGCGGGGCCGGTTGGGGTCCTAGAGGGGCGAGCGCGGGGCCGATCGGGGCCTGAGCGGGGCTAGCGCGGGGCCGACGGGGCCTGAGACGGGGCCGACGGGGCCTGAACAGGGCTAGCGCGGGGCTAGCGCGGGGCCAAACGGGGCCGTGACGGGGCTAGCAGCGGGGCCGACGGGGCCTGAAACGAGGCCGATGCGGCCTGAAACGGGGCTTGCGCGGGCCGACGAGGCCTGAGAGGGGCTAGCGCGGGGCCGACGGGGCCTGAACGGGGCTAGCGTGGGGCCGATCGGGGCTTGAATGGGGCTAGCTCGGGGCCGACGGGGCCTGAAACGGGGCCGAAGGGGCCTGAAACGGGGCTAGCGCGGGCCGACGGGGACTGAAACGGGGCCGACGGGGCCTGAAACGGGGCTAGCGCGGGCCGACGGGGCCTGAACAGGGGCCGACGGGGCCTGAAACGGGGCCGAAGGGGCCTGAAAACGGGGCTAGCGCGGGCCAACGGGGCCTGAAACGGGGCCGACGGGGCCTGAAACGGGGCTAGCGCGGGCCGACGGGGCTTTAGAGGGGCTAGCGCTAGGCGGACGGGGCCTGAAACGGGGCCGACGGGGCCTGAACGGGGCTAGCGAAGGGCCTGAACGGGGCCTTAAAGGGGCCGACAGGGCCTGAACGGGGCCGCTAGGGAGAGTGGGCGTGGGGCCGACGAGGCCTAAACGGGGCTAGCGCGGGGCCGTCAAGAGGGGCCTCTAGGGGCGTGACACGCCGAGGCGCCCTAGGGCACAGGTAGGTAGGTAGGTAGGTAGTTACTTAGTGGTGGGCCCTTATAGAATTTCGGTCCTAGGAAGGACCTGCTCTATACCATGTTGGAATAACTGAACAGGAATGAATGAACTAACAGTGAAATGACTACAAGTACCTAACCCTAGAACTGTGTACCCCCTATAGGCTAACCCACTGTAGCCTAAACTAACACAACATATATAATGTTTGACAGAGTGGTCATCTTCGGGGTGGGAGAGAAGGTCTGAAAGTAGTCAACTCCCTGCCGCTGACTGAAGCCTCGAGCCACATAACGCGCCTTGAAGACAGGCGGAGAACCCGGCGGCCGCTTCACCCTGAAAATCCACATGCCACTGACGATGTTTGCCCCAGGTGGGGGAACCTCGTCGACGTAGGTGCCTGTGGACTTCCAGGAAGCCATCTTTGCGTCCATGGCTGACTGCCACTGAGAGGAGTAGGGACCCTCGATCGCCTCAGCGTACGATCGAGGACTCGCGATGTCTGGTGCATCCGGGTCTCCCTCAAGGGCAATCAGCGTGGACACGAGATGGGGCAAAGTAGCAGCAAAGCACTGGAACTCCTCCTGCTTGTCCTCAAGGACGTCCGTGCTAAGAGCACACCCACCCTCGACGGACGGAGGACAGACAGACTCAGACTCAGCAACGAGACTAGCAGCATAGTCTAGATGACAGCGAGCAGCGAAGTCGACAAGCTCGGCAACTAGAGCGGACGCAGCAGTGGACTCAAAGGAAGGGTCAGTGACAACAGTAGCAAGGAGACACGTGACCGAAGGACTAGCAGCACGAAGGGAGTCAGACTCCGGGTCAACAAGAGTAGGAAGAGAGGACTCTGGAGGAGACGGCAACGGGACACGCAGAGGAGCGGTGAAAGGACGCAGCGCCATCTGGTGTGTGCCGGGGACCGCAGGAGGATGCGGACGCGCAGTACAACCACTAGTGCGAGCAGCACGAACAGGCAACGCAGGACGAGACGCAGGCTCACGACGCTCAGCAAAACCTCCAGTTTGACCAGTGTAGGGAGAAGGAGCAAGTAGAGGGGAGGCGGGCTATAGCTGTGACTGCGACTGGATAGGTTGTGGACACTCTAAGGAAGGAGCAGGACCAGGAGAGGGCGGGAGACCAAGAAACTGCTCCAGGAGCGGAACGAAGTACGGCCTCGGCCGCTCAGCACCTCCAGAACTAGCAAGGACGGCACCAGCACCCCCAACGGGAGCACCAGCGCCAGCAGCACCTCCAGCTCCAACAGCGCCAACTCCAGCACCCTCAGAAGCACCAGCGCCAGCAGCACCGCCAGCGCCAACACCCCTTGCAACTCCAGCTCTAGCACCACCAACTCCAAGAGGACCGTCAGCTCCAGCAGCCTTAGCAGCACCCCCAGACGCACCAGCGCCAGTAGAAACACCAGCACCAACACCCCCAGCAGCTCCAGCTCCAGCAGCACTAGTACTGCCAGCAGCTCCAGCAGGACCAACTCCAGTAGCCCCAGCAGCACTCCCAGTCGCAGCAACACGTCTCCAGCGGCGGGCAAACCACTCGCGCAACTCCTGTGGAGAGAGTGGCTCCCGCCTCGACGAAGCACCGCCAGCGGCCACAGGAGCAGACCCAGCGCCTCCAGGCTCGACACCCCCAGGCTCCGCACCTTCAGGCTCCGCACCCCCTGGCTCCGTACCGCCAGACCCAGCACCTCCAGGCTTAGCACCCCCAGACTCAGCGCCCCCAATCTCAGCACCCCCAGACTCCGCACCTGCAGGCTCAGCACCTCTAGCAGCACCAGAGTCAACAGCTACCTCGACAGGCTAGACTGCGTCTACCTGGGACACACCTGACGAGGCAGGACCCTGAGGGGGGAGGGAGTCTACTGGGGGAGGACCTGGTGCAAGAAAGAGTGGCGGCGGGGGGAGGGGCGCAGTGCTCTAGGGGAAGAGACGGTAGTAAGGTACCGAGTCGTCAAAGGTGACTTTCTGGGAGGACAGAACACGACGCGAGGTGGGGTGGTAAAACTGCCACCCAGGCGCGCCAGGGGGGAAGCCAAGGAAGACGCAGGGAACAGCACGGGGGGACAGCTTGTCCGCAGACAAGTCGCGGACAAACGCCCGAGATTCCCTGACCCGAAACGCAGACGCATCGCCAACCTTCCCGGTCCACCGCAAGGCGGGGGAGGTCTCTGTCAAGGAGACCCGGGGCTGAAGGTTGAGCTGATGCGTGGCGTACTGAACCGCAAACGGCCACAGAAAATGGGGGGCAGCTGCATGCATCATGGACGTACGAGCAACGTCCATGACCATGCCAATGCGGCGCTCAGCAATCCCATTTTGCTGTGGAGAGGCCGGAAACGTGAAGGTCTGGCGGATGCCCTATGCATGACAGAAGGCTCCCAGACGGGCATAGGAAAACTCCCCGCCTGTGTCCGAGTGCAGACGCAGAACAGGAAAGTCCGAGCCAAAACTCTCTCTGAGCTAGAGACGAGCTGCGCGGATCCAGCCGATCAACAACTCAGGAACGTCACCCTTGCAGCGCAAGGGGAAGACTGTGGTGTAACGCGAGTAGTCGTCAACCACCAGCAGGAAGTTCCGCTCGCGCCCCTGCCCATTGACGTGGGCTGGGCCCCTCACATCCATGTAGAGAGTTTGCAGCAGAGCCTCTGTCGGAGGAAACTCGGAGGAGTGAGGGGCGGCGCGCTGTCGCCCGTCGACGCAGGGGACGCAGGTAGGGCAAGGCCCCGGAGGTAGGGGAGGGAGAGACCGAGGGAGACTAGAGACAAGGACACGGGAGGCCATGCCTCGGAGACGAGGCAAGGAGGGGTGACCAAGGCGGTAGTGCCAAAGGAGAGTCTGGTGGGACAGGAGACGACACGAGCAGGGAGCAGACTCAGGACCAGACCTGGACGCTGCAGCAAACACCTGACTCGACGTAGCCACCTGGGCAGACGCTCCAGTCGGAGGAGACTTAGTAGTAAGGGTGTACAGGCTCGACCCTGGCCGACGGGTGAACGTGGCCAAGTGTCGGCCTGTCTGAGCACACGTGCAGTGGGTCACTCGCTGACTCGCAAGAGTGAACTGGTCAACCCTCCTATCCTGTAGGTCCGCTCCACTCACGAAGTTCGTATAGAACGAGGGGAGGTAGAGACCTGACAGGGTGCCAGAGGGGGCTGCGGGGCACGGTAAGACAGTGGAGAAGCTAGCAAGGACAGGACCCCTAGAGGGGTCTGCCAGGGAGACTGCAACTGGCCGACTGAGCGGCGTAAGAGTGGTGCGGTCTCAAAAGAAGGAGCGGGACGCACCCGAGTCAAGGGTGAAGGTGTGGAAGGCCTGAGCCGACGTAGTATCTGAGAGAGCAGACTCATTAGCACGTGGGGCAGCAGACGCACTGTCACCTAGGGCAGCAGACGCACTGGCACCTGGGGCAGCAGACGCACTAGCACCTAGAGCAGCAGCCTCACCAGCACCTAGAGGAGTGGCCTCAATGCCCGGCTCAGGCGGTACACACAGGTAACAGTCACCCTCAACGCTAGTAGTCACAGAATATATGGCAGCAAGGATAGCATCATAGTCAAGATCAAAGACGGCAGCCCCCGCCCTAGACAGATCTCCCCAATGACGGATCTCTGACGCCTCAGGGAACTGGCGACGCCACGCGTTTGTCAAGCGACCGAAGCAGCGCTGGGTGGAGTGCGGGCCTCCACACTGCTCACCAGCTTGGTCGCCGATACGGAGGACGTAAGTGCAGGGACGAAAACCCCCACCGCGCTGACGCGCAGTGTACCACTCACGAAGCTGCTGGGGGGACAGGGTCACACCACTCCGCTGCTGCTGGCGCGGACCACCACCGGAGCCTCTCCTCTCCGCAGAGTCGTGACCCGTTCCACCACCGCCGCCGCCACCGCCGCGTCCACCGCCTCCTCCACCTCCGCCTCCTCCGCCACCTCTGCCTCCTCCGCCACCTCCGTCGCCTCCGCTCCCTCTGCCACCACCACCGCCTCTACCGCCTCCACTGCTGCCGCCGCCGCCACCCCCGGCACCACTCCCACCACCACCCCCACTCCCTCCACTGCCTCCACTACCACCTCCACCGCCCCCTCCAGCCCCTCCAGCGCCCTTGCCCCCCTTGCCCTTCCCGGTGCGGCGTTTCCCGCTCCGGGCAGACGCAACGCCGACCGACTCGAAACCAACGAGGTCGGCCGGAGCAAAAGAGGCAACAGAGGGCAAGAGGGGGGAGGGAGAACACCCCTCAAAGACGGGGGTGGGAGGGTCACCACGAGAGGCTCCTACAGCGACTATGCTCTTCTCTGCCACTAGGAGGGCCTTTTCGAGGAGGTCAACGGTGAGAGTGGTGGGGCAAACTGAGAGAAAGTGGTCCCTGACTACGTGGAGAGAGTCAGAGAGCCGGGTGACTATGTAGTAGAGAGTGATCTATATGGGGGGGGGGGTTCTTGGCGTAGAACTCAGTAGGAAGCGCAGCACGGTAGCGAGTGTCACTACTGCGGAGGTGCGTAATGAGGTCAGCGATTGTGGGAAAGGCAGCAAGGTAAGGGAAGAGGTACGGTAGCATGAGGCGGCTCAGTGCAGTAGTGGCAGGGGAACAGTAGCGTGCAACTACAGCGTCTTACAAGGTCTGAGCACTCTTGTACTGGCTAAAGTGTGCACGCTTAGTGGTCCGTAAGTGGCGGCGCACAGCAAGGCGAGCAGCAGCATTGCGCGTGGCCCACTGTGAGCGAACAGTGGCGTGAGCATCAGCAGCAGGGGCAGGAGAGGCACGAGAAGTGAGGTCAAACAGGGAGAGACCGTCTGCCCTGTCGCACCATAGGAAAAGCTGCAGATCATCTACCCAAACCTCAAAGTCACCTGCCCGACCCTCAGCGTCAAAGGTGAGAATACTAGGGGAGGCCATGACAGCAGTAGACAGGCAGTGAGTACAGTGGGGCAGGGCAGTGCAGTGGCAGAGGCGCTACTCTTACCAGGCAAGTGGGGCAGTCCCGGGCAGGCTGACAGGCGGCAGTGCCTCGACTGCGGTGCGGCTCGGCGGCTCGGCGGTTCGGTTGCTGGGCGGCTCGGCGGTCGGGCGGCTCAGCTGCAGCGCGGCTCGGCGGTCGGGCGGCTCGGCTGCTCGGCGGCTCGGCTGCTTGGCGGCTCGGCTGCTCGGCGGGTGGGCTGCTCGGCGGTTCGGGCGCTGGGCGGCTGAGCGGCGACGGGGCCGTGGAAGGGCGGCGACCGGGCCACTGAAAGGGCAGCGACGGGCCGCTGAAAGGGTGGCGACGGGCCGCTGAAAGGGCGGCGACTGGGTCGCGGAAGGGCAGCGCTAGGGCCGCTGAAGGGTGGCGACGGGGCCGCGGAAGGGTGGCGACGGGGCCGCTGAAAGGGCGGGCGGCGTCGGGGCCGCTGAGAGGGCGGCGACGGGGCCGCTGAAAGGGCGGCGACGAACCCGCGGAAGGGCGGCGACGGGGCCGCTGAAGAGCGGCGACAGGGGGGGGGGGGGGGCGAAAGGGCGGCTACGGGGCCACGGAAGGGCTGCGTCGGGGCCGCGGAAGGGCGGCGACGGGGCCACTGAAAGGGCGGCGACGGGGCCGCTGAAAGGGCAGTGACGGGGCCGCGGAAAGGGCGGCAATAGGGCCGCTGAAAGGGCGGCGACGGGACCGCTGAAAGGGCGGCGACGGGGCCGCGGAAAGGGGCCGCGAGGCCGGTTCGAAGAGGGCCGTGAGGGCGGCTCGACGAGGCTGTGAGGACGGCGCGACGGGGCCACTAGGGGCCGTGAGGGAAGTCACACGGGGCGCGACTCGGGCAGGGGCCAAGCGCACTCCGGGCAGGAAAAAAAAGGTCAGTGGGCCCTAGGAAAAGTTCCCACGGGGGAACCTGCTCTATACCATGTGCGAATTAGAACGAGAATTATTGAACTATGAAACAGTTGGGTACAAGTACTAACCCTAATTGGGTTGTACCCCTTATGGGCTACCCCACTACAGCCTACAAAGAAGTATGAGCTATAATGTTCTGATATCGTTGTCAGTCATAGCCGTGCTGCGACCCGTGAACGTTTGTAGTACACCATTGGCGACGGCCTGGACGGTGGCATCCATGCGGCGCGTGGCGAAATTGGACCTCCAATCATCGCAAAATTGCATCTAAAATGCCTTGTCTTCGTCCTTTTTTGTTAATCAGTTCCGGTTTGTGCACGCCGTGGACGTTCGGCTCCATATAATGTATTTCTGCTTGCCCATGGGTGGCAACTTTGCAACAAGGAAACGGCGGGGATGTCGAAAGCTGGTTGGCTGCTTTCTTGCTCTGACGTCACATTGGGAATGAAAATTGTCAGTCGCTAAAAAATGGACAGCACACGGTGGCACATGGCAAGATCCGAAACAACAGATGGCTGACACTATGACGGCAGCAATGTGAACAAGGCATGAGCGGTCAGTGGAAGAGAGGGAGGGGAAACAGATGAAGGTGAAATGGAACACAACTAGAGGGGATGGATCCTCGCCTGACTGCCTCCCACCGACGCCACCACCAACCCCACCAGCAACCGAGGGGAAAGGGTGGACTTGTTTGCAGCGGACCTGGCTATATGCATTTCGTCAATCTGAAAAGCACTTGATATAATTGGTAACTTCATTCAAACTAGCCCAATTTTGCATATTTGACAAGTAAGCATTGCAGATGTAACTTGGGACAAACAGAGAAAAAAGGATATCACTTTTTGAACTTAAAAGGGTCCTCTTTAGACTAGGGGGACTCACTTTCCGGTTATATCCAGAAAAACAGCCGCATCTTGTCTAGGTTGCGGAACCTACCATTCTGATTTGATCAACGGAACTCATGCTGGTGGATAGCAGCACATGTGAGGATAAGCTGGAGTCTGGGGTGCCGCGGTGAGAGAGAGGATACGCGGGGGAGCGATGATACGCTGGGGGGGCGGACGAGTAGAGCGAGGCGGGGTGGTGCAGCGGCTAAAGTTGCTCGGAGGGCCTGCCCGGGTGGTGAGGGAGGAGCTAATCCATGAGCTTTTGCACCCGATGGCGCGGACCACCACCGGAGGACAGACAGACTCAGACTCAGCAACAAGACTAGCAGCGTAGTCTAGACGACAGCGAGCAGCAAAGTCGATGAGCTCAGAAACGAGGGCAGACGCAGTAGTGGACTCGAAAGAAGGGTGAGTGACGACAGTAGCAAGGAGACGCGTGACAGTAGGACTGGCAGCACGAAGAGAGTCCGACTCCGGGTCGGCAAGAGCAGGAAGAGAGGACTCAGGAGGAGAAGGCAAAGGGGCACGCAGAGGAGCAGTGGATGGACAGAAAGACATCCGGTGCGTGCCTGGGACAGAAGGAGGACGCTGACGCGAAATACGACCACTAGTGCGAGCAGGACGGACACGCGACGTGGGGCGAGACGCAAGCTCACAACGCTCAGCAAGACCTCCAGTAGGACCAGTGTAGGGAGACGGAGCAGGCAGTGGGGAGGCCGGCGGTAACTGCAACTGTGACGGGACAGGCTGTGGACACTCTAAGAGAGGAGGAGGACTAGTAGAAGGCGGGAGACCAAGAACCTGCTAAAGGAGCGGAACGAAGTACGGCCGAGGCCGCTCAGCGACTCCAGACACAGCAAAGACGGTACCAGCACCCCCAGCGGCAGCACCAGCGCCAGCAGCACCCACAGCTCCAGAACTTCCAGCAGCACCGGTAGCACCTACAATAGCACCGCCTCCATGACCGACAGTAGTAGCCTCAGCACCAACACCCTCAGCAGCTCCAGCTCCAGTCGCACCTGCCGGCCAAGCAACTCCAGTACCTCCAGTATGAGCACCTCCGGGACCCGCGGCACCAGCACCCTTAGCAGCCGAAGACCCTCCAGCTCTAGCAGCACGGCTCCAGCGCCGGGCAAACCACTCGCGCAGCTCCTGTGGAGAGAGTGGCTCCCGCCGAGACGAAGCACCCGGAGAACCTCCAGGCCCAGCACCGCCAGACGCCACACGAGCAGGCCCAGCCCCCTCAGGCTCCATACCCCCAGGCTCAGCACCTCCAGACGTAGCACCCCCAGGCTCAGCATCCCAAGGCGTACCACCCCCAGGCTCAGCACCCCCAGGCTCAGCACCCCCAGTCTCAGCACCCCCAGTCTCAGCACCCCCAGTCTCAGCACCCCCAGTCTCAGCACCCCCAGAGTCAGCACCCCCAGGCTCAGCACCCTCAGCAGCACAAGAGTCACCAGTGACCTCGACAGGCTCGACTGCGTCTACCTGGGACACACCTGAAAGGGCTGGACCCTGAGGGGGGAGCGGGTCTACCAGGGGGGGGACCTGGTACGAGGAAGAGCGGCGGCGGGGGGAGGGACGGAGTGCGGTAGGGGAAGAGGCGGTAGTAGGGGACCGACTCGTCAAACGTGACGTCCTGGGAGGACAGAACACGGCGAGAGGTGGGGTGGTAAAACTGCCACCCAGGTGCGTCAGGGGGGAAGCCTAGGAAGACACAAGGAGCCCCACGAGGGGACAGCTTGTCCGCAGACAAGTCGCGGACAAACGCCCGAGATCCCCAGACACGGAACGCAGACGCATCGCCAACCGTCCCTGTCCATAGCAAGGCTGGGGAGGTTTTCGGCATGGAGACCCTGGGGTGAAGGTTGATCTGATGCGCCGCGTACCGAACCGCAAACGGCCACAGAAAATGGGGGGCAGCCGCGTGCATGATGGACGTACGGGCAACGTCCATGACCATGCCAATGCGGCGCTCAGCAATCCCATTTTGCTGTGGAGAGTCCGGAAGCGTGAAGGTCTGGCGGATACCTCGTGCACGATAGTAGGCTCACAGAAGGCCAAAGGAGAACTTTCCGCCTCTGTTAGAGTGCAGACGCAGAACAGGAAAGTCCGAGCGGAAACTCTGCCTGAGCTGGAGACGAGCTGCGCGGATCTAGTCGTTCAACACCTCAGTGACATCACCCTTGCTGTGCAAGGGGACGACTGTGGTGTAACGTGAGTAGTCGTCAACCACCAGCAGGAAGTAGCGCTCGTGACGCAGTCCACGGACGCGGGCGGGGCCCCACACGTCCATGTGAAGAGTCTGCAAGGGGGCCTCTGTCGGAGGAAACAAGGAGGAGTGAGGAGCAGCCCACTGCCGTCCCTCGACACAAGGGACGCAGGTAGGGCCAGGCCCCGGAGGAAGGGGAGTGAGGGACCGGGGAAGACCAGAGACAAGGACACGGGAGACCATGCCTTGGAGACGAAGCAGGGAGGGGTGACCAAGGCGGTGGTGCCAGAGGAGAGTCTCGTGAGACAGGAGGCGATACGAGCAGGGGGCAGACTCAGGACCAGATCTGGACCCTGCATCAAACACCTGACTCGACGCAGCTACCTGACCACACACAGGGACAGGAGGAGACGTAGTGGTCAGTGTGTACAGGCTCGACCCCGTCCAACGAGTAAATGTGGCCAAGTGTCGGCCCGTCAAAGCAACCGTGCAGTGGGTCACCCACTGGCTCGCAGGAGTGAACTGGTGAACTCTCCCATCCTGTAGGTCAGCACCACTCACCAATTTCGTAGAGAACGAGGGGAGGTAAAGACCAGACAGGGTGCCAGAGGGAGCCGCCGGACACGGGAGGACAATGGAGAAGTGAGCAAGGACAGGACCCCCAGAGGAGTCTGCCAGAAAGATTGCAACTGGCCGACCAAGCGGCGTGAGTGTGGTGCGGTCTCGAAAGAAGGTGCGAGAAGCCCCCGAGTCAAGGGTGAAGGTGAGGGAGGCCGAAGCTGACTCGGTACCTAAGAGCGCGGACTCACCAGCACCTGAGGAAGCAGACGCACTAGCACCTAGAGCAGCAGCCTTGCTAGCACCTAGAGCAGCAGCCTCACCAGTACCTAGAGCAGCAATCTCAATGCCCGAGTCGAGCGGGAAACACCGGTAACAGTCA